AATGCATATCAATGTCACATGTGTCTTTTCCTCGACTGAATGTTATTAGCAATATTAATATTGGATACAATTGTAACGTAATGAATTGCATTTGATCCTAGTCCTAAGTTTAATTTTCTGTTGAATCAGTTGAACATCTAAGTAATCATCGATGTGTAATATTTGACACTGGACATTATTTTAGGAGCGATGCAATACAAATAATGTATTTCTATCAATCATTTACTTCAGTTAAAGACTTTTGAATGTAACAATATGGTACAAATCGATTTGATTTACTGAATTGCATATTTCTTTTTTATCGAAATGAAAATATTATAAACTGCTCCCGGTTACTATAAATAAGAAGATGTGGTATGTGTGCCAAATAATCATCTCCATCGAAGTCACAAAGTATAAAACAATTATAGATTAAAAGTACGGCCTCAACACGGAGCTTTGGCTCACACCGAACAGCAAGCTTTAAAGGTCCCCAAAATAACTAGTGTAAAACAATTCAAAATGGAAAAACAAAGTTCTAATCTATAAGTACGGTCATTTTGCTACGTTATTTTATAGCTTTTTGGTCAATTCTGAAAAAGCAAGTAAGCATCTTTATTTTTAAATGAGAAGTAACGCTGGTGTTATAAAAAAAAATCTGATACGAAACAGAAATATAAACCGTACACAAGATTTTATCAATCGTTTCTTAACTTTTATGTTGTTTGATATTTTTCTATTATATGATTTATTCTTGTATTAGTTCTTCCTAAAAAAAAAATCAAGAGAGGTATCGACATCGGTCTTTATAGGCACCTAATGGTAAATATAAACTGTCAACTAAATTCTTAAAATATTCTTTATTCATGTTGCATTTTTTTTGAAAAAAATAATGTTTTATTTGTCAGTGTAATAATTTTACCCGGTAAATCCTTATATAAGATAAAACATGGAACTTTATTCATTTTACGTCCATGGATAAAACATCATAAGCGTTGCACGGGTAATTATTTAGATAGTTTATGACAACCCGTTTCGGTTGACTGCTTAGATAATCCGTTAATTAAAATGTAAATAACTTTCACCAAGCAAATGTCATCTGTATAATCATAGATATAATAGCCATAGCTATGGCTATTATATCTATGGTATAATATTTAAAAATATAAAGTAAATTAGATACTTAGAATATATTTTTTTTGACAAATTCTATATGGATCAGAAATATAATTATACATTAGAAACAAAAAAAATGTTTAAGAAAATTTCAGAACATCTTTGGGATATATTACTTGTCATTATATCTTTACGGGCGGAATGAATAAATACAGGACTACTTTATGTCAGAAAGCACGACTGCACGAATGACTAACACATTTCCCGGTTACAACAATTAATCTTTTCTTATATAACCAATTAAATGTTAAAAGTTCTATCGCGAAAAATGAATTGTACGTTTGCATACGTTATTTAATGAAATAGATATACAGTATTACATTAAAAGACCACAAAAGAATATCCTCCAAGATATGCCGATTTTCTTCATAAAGGGGAGTAACCCCTGATAAACACAGATAAAGTGTCGCTCGTTTTATTTAAAATATTTAAAATCTTAACACGACTGAACACGATCTTACAGCAACTAAACAGATTTTTTACCTTTGGTCTTATTTTATCTGAACGTGATCTAATCAAGTCTTATTTGAACGCTAGAAGAATCTGTCTTGTTTATCTTGACCCGACTGATCTGACTGAACACGATATATCGGAACAGACTCTGAAAGTCTAAACAGGTCTTAACGTTTTTCCCTAGCAGTAAATCAAGGCGATTAAGACTTGATCAGACCAAAATGACCGTTTCAGACTTAAATCTTGCTACTAGTGAAGGGACCGTTCAATATTTATCAGATGGATGGGGCGGGGCAAAATGGGGCGGGGCAAGCACTTTTTTTTACATGTATAGTGGATGGCCCAGAACTTATTTTATAGGAAAAATTTTGCTATTAATTTTATAGGTGTGTATGAAATTTATGTTGCAGGCACACAAAACATAAAAGACATAGTCTCAACAAACTGGTAGCTTGGTTCATTTCTGTCAATTTTAAGGATTTAATTAAAGAATACAAAAGCTAGAATTTTCTATTCGGACTAATTTCAGATAGTCACTTTTAAAAGTTTATATAAATTTTCAAAACCACTTGGATTTTCATATCAGTTGTATTTTGACCTTATAGAATACCAGGTTGTTTGATAGTTTGGTGTATTGCTGTCAAATTTATGGATTTTATTAATAAGTAAGAAAAAAAAGCTAAAATTTTCAGTTTAGGCTAAATTCAGATAGTCACCTTTAAATTTTTTTTATAACTTTTTCAAATCAACTTGGATTTTCATATAACTCTACAGCTATTATCACCAAGGAAAAATGAGGTATTTTTCCTTAGCAATATTTTTGAATAGTTTTGTTTAAAATATTATATAAATCTATATTTTCTTTTTTTTTAACATATTGATCTGACAGAATGCCAGGTTGTTTGGTACTTTGGTTTATTGCTGTCATTTTTATGGATTTAGTTAATAGGTTAAAAAAGCTACAATTTTCAGTTTAGGCTAAATTCAGATAGTCACCTTTAAATTTTTTTATAATTTTTTCAAATCAACTTTGATTTTCATATAAATCTACAGCTATCTCATTTATATGTTGGTCTTACAGAATTCCAGGTTGTTCATGTTGTTTGGCAGTTTTAGTGTATTGCTGTCATTTTTATGGATTTAATAAATAGGTTAAAAAAAGCTTAAATGTTCAAATTAGACTAAATTCAGATAATCATCTTTAAAAATTGGTATAAAGTTTTCAAATCAACTTGGATTTTTATATAGCTCTACAACTATCTCATTAACATATTGATCTTACAGAATACCAGGTTGTTTGGTACTTTGGTTTATTGTTGTCATTTTTATGGATTTAGTTAATAGGTAAAAGAAGCTACAATTTTCAGTTTAGGCTAAATTCAGATAGTCATCTTCAAAAATTGGTGTAACGTTTCCAAATCAACTTTGATTTTCATAAAACTCTACAGCCATCTCATTTATATACTGATCTCACAGAATGCCAGGTTGTTTGGTAGTTTGGTGTACATGTATTGCTGACAAATTTAGGGATTCAGTGGCGGATCCAGAAATTTTCATAAAAGGGGGCCCACTGAGTGCCTAAGAGGGGGCCCGCTCCAGTCATGCTTCAGTGATTTCCTATATAAGCAACTAAATTTTTCCCACAAAAAGGGGGGCCTGGGCCCCCTGCCGCCACCGTCCAGTAGTCTAAGAGTTATTGTCCCTTAATTTAAATTATTCCCTTTATTTTAAATTAATATGGTATTTTGAAAATTGTATACAAATTGGATAGTTAGTTAATATTTTTTTGATTGTTAACAATAGTTTGAATAAATCTTTATGTCCTATGGTCACAAAAGGGGGAAAAAGTGGTGACCCTCAATTATTTAATAGAACAAAGACGTAAGAAGAGATACATTAAACTGTTTCAAATTTAAGATGACCTCAGATTTCAGAAAAATATAAACTAAGTACATTTAATAGTATAGTTAATATTTCTTCATATGTTTTATATGACTTGCATGAATATTGTTAGCACTTCTTAAGCCTCTATGAAAGGCTGGCTGATATGGTATGCTGTTAATTATGTCTTGAGATTTAATTGTGATATTGTATCTGAGACTGCACATATAAAATCAAATCTATACATGTATATTCATACTGGTTTTAAAATTATTAAAATGTAAGTTTCTGATACACACATAAATATATATATATGTGGAATTAACTAGCACATTTTGAATTTTGTATTTATACACCAAAGTCTATTTTTTGATTTCCAGACATAAACATGCAAATATAAAAAAATATAAAAAGAACCTAAATCATTTTTGATTGTCTTTAAGGTTCATCATAACAAACGGAAAAATATGGCTGTATTTACACGTCAAAAACTACTCTGAGTACAGACTTACCTGTCCAGCTGGAAAAGTTTTAAGGCCTAGCATCCACTAGATATATATATAAAAGTTAAATGCATTTTGTGTTTCAGAAAGATATAATTTTTTTGGGTTTTTGATGGGCATTTTTTTTCCTTTCTGCAGAAGGTGTAAAAATAAACAAACACCTGAATTACTTTGATACTGTCCACTCAGTTAAACCCTTTAACTCACCTATAGTTGTGTAGATACATGTTGTCCATGTCAATCAAGGACAATCAATACAATACAATACAGTTTTTACCTGATAGGGAGCATCTCAAAGTTGTATCACAACTTAGTTAATTTTTACACCTTCTGCATGAAGGAAAAAAAAATGCCCATCAAAATCCAAAAGAGATTTTATCTTTCTGAAACACAAAATGCATTTAACTTTTATATATCTAGTGGATGCCAGGCATTAAAACTGTTCCAACTGGACAGGTAAGTCTGTACTATAAAGAGTAGTTTTTGGCATGTAAATACAACCATATTTGTCCGTTTGTTATGATGAACCTTAAGTTTTAGAGGGGCAAGGACTCTTTTTATAGTTTTTTTTAGATGGGCAAGGGCTTTTTTGCAGAATTTAAAAGGATGGGCATTAAATTTTTTAATGAAATAATATTAAGAATGCACCGACGGTGACCTATCCATCTGGTAAATATTGAACGGTCCCTAATTCACATTTTATTTTTGACGACCAATTATTCATTTACGATACCAATATGCAATGCTGCAAACGTAGGCATAAGGACAGACAACACCATATAATTCCTTTAATTACATTTTGGGGAGTAACTGTCGTCTTACTTTGCTTGGGGACTGGATAAGACATAGCAAGAAGCAGAAATTACGATAATAGTATCACAACAATATGACAGTTGTTTTTCATTTGATGTGTTTGATCTTATGATTTTGCAATTTGATAAGGGACTTTCCCCGTTTTGAATTTATCTTGGAGTTCGGTAGTTTTGCTATTTACTTTTTAGTACTTACGTCTTGAAAAAAAATGACACGTCTTTTTTGTAAATATTAATGTGTATGGAACGAATTTAGAGACATAGTCATATGTATGGAGTGCATTTAGCTCTATACGTTATACTGATATATTTAGCTTCCTTAATATAAAATTTATTTATAAACGATGTGCTTTTAGCTTCCTAACAATTAAACTATATATATTTATAAAGGAGGTGCAGTTAACAATGCTTCATTAAACAACGTAACCTGGTATAAGTAGCCCCACACATAGCACTAGTGTCAAGCTATCCAGCAATTCTCATCCTGCAATTCTTTTTATAAAAAGCTATTCTGCAATTCGTCATCCTGCAATTGCGTTTGGAAAACTACTTGAGCGACACTTTTATTTTTCTTTAAAATCATAGTTTTTGACTTTTTTGTTCGAAAACAAGATTTATACAGAAAATCAAAGATTTTTATATCCAATTAACAAAATTCTAAATTTAGTTTGCAGATTTCTAACTCATATTTACCATGTTTACGGTTTTTGAAATTAGCATTTACAATAAAAAATTATGATGACGATTCAAACAAACGGTATTATCTCTTTAGTCCAGGATGTGATTCGTATTAACGCATGTTAAACCCACATTTGCGATTTTCGAAACTAACATTAAAGAATTTTGATGTAAAATAATTTTTTTTCATGGTATACCCGACAATACAACTTCTATTTGAAACTGGGTCACCCACTTCCAAACCCATTGCCTCGGTAGTTCTTTATGGCTAGGGATTATAGACGCTGACCTAATGAATAGCTATTGGATAGTACTACAACGTGAGGGTAAAGCACTTCTGGGGTAAGCATTCTTAAAGGTCGAAAATTTCGTCCGTATCACGGAAAAAAGTCAAATTTGATAAAATCCGCATTGGGGTCATCCACTTGTTCAAACCCATTGCCTCGGCAGTTCTCTATGGCAAGGGATTATAGACTCTGCTTTAAAAAATAGTTATTGGATAATTCTACGCAGAGAGGGCAAAGAATTTCTGGGGTAAGCATTCCTAAAGGCCGAAAATTTCGTACAAAACATGGAAATAAAACCAAATTCGATAAAATACGCATTTGGGGCACCCACTTTACGACCCATTGTCTCGGTAGTTCTTTATGGCTAGGGATTAAAGACGCTGTCCTAATGAATAGCTATTGGATAGTACTACAACTTGAGGGTAAAGAATTTCTGGGGTAAGCATTCTTAAAGGTCAAAAATTTCGTCCGTATCACGGGAAAAAAGTCAAATTTGATAAATTCCGCATTGGGGTCACCCACTTGTTCAAACCCATTGCCTCGGCAGTTCTCTATCGCTAGGGATTATAGACTCTGCTTTAATAAATAGTTATTGGATAGTTCTACGCCGAGAGGGCGAAGAATTTCTGGGGTAAGCATTCCTAAAGGCCGAAAATTTCGTACGAAACATGGAAAAAAAGCCAAATTCGATAAAATACGCATTGGGGGCACCCACTTTACGACCCATTGTCCCGGTAGTTCTGTATGGCTAGGGATTATAGACGATATCCTAATGAATAGCTATTGGATAGTACTACAACGTGAGGGTAAAGAATTTTTGGGATAAGCATTTTTAAAGGTCAAAAATTTCGTCCGTATCACGGAAAAAAAGTCAAATTTGATAAAATCCGCATTGGGGTCACCCACTTGTTCAAACCCATTGCCTCGGCAGTTCTCTATGGCTAGGGATTATAGACTCTGCTTTAATAAATAGCTATTGGATAGTTCTACGCAGAGAAGGCAAATAATTTCTGGGGTAAGCATTCCTAAAGGCCGAAAATTTCGTACGAAACATGGAAATAAAGCCAAATTCGATAAAATACGCAATGGGGGCACCCACTTTACGACCCATTGTCTCGGTAGTTCTTTATGGCTAGGGATTATAGACGCTGCCCAAATGAATAGCTATTGGATAGTACTACAATTTGAGGGTAAAGAATTTCTGGGTTAAGCATTTTTAAAGGTCGAAAATTTCGTCCGTATCACGGAAAAAAAGTCAAATTTGATAAAATCCGCATTGGGGTCACCCACTTGTTCAAACCCATTGCCTCGGCAGTTCTCTATGGCTAGGGATTATAGACTCTGCTTTAATAAATAGCTATTGGATAGTCCTTTGCCGAGAGGGCAAAGAATTTCTGGGGTAAGCATTCCTAAAGGCCGAAAATTTCCTACGAAACATTGAAATAAAGCCAAATTCGATAAAATACGCATTGGGGGCACCCACTTTACGACCCATTGTCTCGGTAGTTCTTTATGGCTAGGGATTATAGACGCTGACCTAATGAATAGCTATTGGATAGTACTACAACGTGAGGGTAAAGAATTTCTGGGTTAAGCATTCTTAAAGGTCGAAAATTTCGTCCGTTTCACGGGAAAAAAGTCAAATTTGATCAAATCCGCATTGGGGTCACTCACTTGTTCAAACCCATGGCCCCGGCAGTTCTCTACAGCTAGGGATTATAGACTCTGCTTTAATAAATAGCTATTGGATAGTTCTACGCCGAGAGGGCAAAGAATTTCTGGGGTAAGCATTCCTAAAGGCCGAAAATTTCCTACGAAACATGGAAATAAAGCCAAATTCGATAAAATACGCATTGGGGGCACCCACTTTACGACCCATTGTCTCGGTAGTTCTTTATGGCTAGGGATTACAGACGCTGCCCTAATGAATAGCTATTGGATAGTACTACAACTTGAGGGTAAAGAATTTCTGTGGTAAGCATTCTTAAAGGTCGAAAATTGCGTCCGTATCACGGAAAAAAAGTCAAATTTGATAAAATCCGCATTGGGGGCACCAACTTTACGACCCATTGTCTCGGTAGTTCTTTATAGCTAGGGATTATAGACGCTGCCCAAATGAATAGCTATTGGATACTACTACAACTTGAGGGTAAAGAATTTCTGGGGTAAGCACTTTTAAAGGTCGAAAATTTCGTCCGTATCACGGAAAAAAAGTCAAATTTGATAAAATCCGCATTGGGGTCACCCACTTGTCCAAACCCATTGCCTCGGCAGTTCTCTATGGCTAGGGATTATAGACTCTGCTTTAATAAATAGCTATTGGATAGTCCTTTGCCGAGAGGGCACAGAATTTCTGGGTTAAACATTTCTAAAGGCCGAAAATTTCCTACGAAACATGGAAATAAAGCCAAATTCGATAAAATACGCATTGGGGGCACCCACTTTACGACCCATTGTCTCGGTAGTTTTTTATGGCTAGGGATTATAGACGCTGCCCTAATGAATAGCTATTGGATATTGCTACAACGTGAGGGTAAAGAATTTCTGGGTTAAGCATTCTTAAAGGTCGAAAATTTCGTCCGTATCACGGAAAAAAGTCAAATTTGATCAAATCCGCATTGGGGTCACTCACTTGTTCAAACCCATGACCCGGCAGTTCACTACAGCTAGGGATTATAGACTCTGCTTTAAAAAATAGCTATTGGATAGTTTTACGCCGCCGAGAGGGCAAAGAATTTCAGGGGTAAGCATTCCTAAAGGCCGAAAATTTCATACGAAACATGGAAATAAAGCCAAATTCGATAAAATACGCATTGGGGGCACCCACTTTACGACCCATTGTCTCGGTAGTTCTTTATGGCTAGGGATTATAGACGCTGCTCTAATTAATAGCTATTGGATAGTACTACAACGTGAGGGTAAAGAATTTCTGGGGTAAGCATTGTTAAAGGTCGAAAATGTCGTCCGTATCATGGAAAAAAAGTCAAATTTGATTAAATCCGCATTGGGGTCACCCACTTGTTCAAACCCATTGCCTCGGCAGTTCTCTATAGCTAGGGATTAAAGACTCTGCTTTAATAAATAGCTATTGGATAGTTCTACGCCGAGAGGGCAAAGAATTTCTGGGGTAAGCATTCCTAAAGGCCGAAAATATCGTACGAAACATTGAAATAAAGCCAAATTCGATAAAATACGCATTGGGGTCACCCACTTGTTCAAACCCATTGCCTCGGCAGTTCTCTATAGCTAGGGATTATAGACTCTGCTTTAATAACTAGCTATTGGATAGTCCTTTGCCGAGAGGGCAAATAATTTCTGAGGTAAGCATTCCTAAAGGCCGAAAATTTCGTACGAATCATGGAAAAAAAGTCAAATTTGATAAAATCGGCATTAGGGTCACCCACTTGTTCAAACCCATTGCCTCGGCAGTTCTCTATGGCTAGGGATTAAAGACTCTGCTTTAATAAATAGCTATTGGATAGTTCAACGCCGAGAGGGCAAAGAATTTCTGTGGTAAGCATTGTTAAAGGTCGAAAATTTCGTCCGTATCACGGAAAAAAAGTCAAATTTGATAAAATCTGCATTGGGGTCACCCACTTGTTCAAACCCATTGCCTCGGCAGCTCTCTATGGCTAGGGATTATAGACTCTGCTTTAATAACTAGCTATTGGATAGTCCTTTGCCGAGAGGGCAAATAATTTCTGGGGGTAAGCATTCCTAAAAGCCGAAAATTTCCTACGAAACATGGAAATAAAGCCAAATTCGATAACATACGCATTGGGGGCACCCACTTTACGACCCATTGTCTCGGTAGTTCTTTATGGCTAGGGATTATAGACGCTGCCCTAATGAATAGCTATTGAATAGTACTACAACTTGAGGGTAAAGAATTTCTCTGGTAAGCATTCTTAAAGGTCGAAAATTGCGTCCGTATCACGGAAAAAAAGTCAAATTTGATAAAATCCGCATTGGGGTCACCCACTTTACGACCCATTGTCTCGGTAGTTCTTTATAGCTAGGGATTATAGACGCTGCCCAAATGAATAGCTATTGGATAGTACTACAACTTGAGGGTAAAGAATTTCTGGGGTAAGCACTTTTAAAGGTCGAAAATTTCGTCCGTATCACGGAAAAAAAGTCAAATTTGATAAAATCCGCATTGGGGTCACCCACTTGTTCAAACCCATTTCCTCGGCAGTTCACTACAGCTAGGGATTATAGACTCTGCTTTAATAAATAGTTATTGGATAGTTCTATGCCGAGAGGGCAAAGAATTTCTGGGGT